TACTGCACAATCGCGGAAACATTGACATTAAATTTGGACTCTAAAAAAGATCCTCTTGAATATCTGGCAAATATTCAGGTTAATGATAGGTTTTTTATTGACTTTACAAATATGCATGAAGTTAGACAGGTATTTAAAGAAATAAAAAATAAATCTTCTGCAGGATATGATGGGATTTCTGTCAGAATACTGGAAAACTTGCCAGATTGTGCCTTACAAATGCTAGTATTGTATTGATTGTTCGTTTGCCACTGGAGCGTTTCCAACATGTTTAAAGCAGGGAGTGGTGATTCCACTCTTTGAGGGAGGCAACTCCGATGATCCCTCTAATTTTAGACCTATTTCTCTTTTGCCAACGCTCTCAAAAGTAATTGAAAAAATTGTTAAGCGGAGAGTGATGGAGTTTCTGGATAGACACAGACTACTTAGTTCTGTTCAATTTGGCTTCATCCCGGGCAAAAGTACTGATGATGCTATTTTTTCGTTGCTCCACGATATTTATCTGAATATAAATGGCGGGGAGATGGTCGCGGCAACATTCTGTGATTTTTCGAAAGCTTTCGATTGCGTGGATCATGGAGTGTTGCTGCGAAAGCTTCTTCGTTATGGCTTTGGTGACATTGCAGTGGAATGGTTTTCATCCTATCTTTCTGAAAGAAGACAAATCGTAAAGGTAGACGAGGTATATTCTAGCAACTCCCTTGTTGCAAGAGGTGTTCCACAGGGCTCAGTGCTGGGACCAATTTTGTTTTTGATATACCTGAACGATTTGGCTTTCTTAGATATTCAAGGTTCATTCACTCTATTTGCGGATGACACCAGTCTTGTGTGGCATGACAAGTGTAAAGAAAACTTAGGAGTAATGATTGATAACGATTTGCAAAAGCTAAAGGTTTGGTGTGATACAAACCTACTTTGTTTTAATGTGTCCAAAACAAACATTATGACCTTTGGTTTTGACTTTGCAAATCTGAACCTTATGAATCGGTCTATTGCAAGTAAATCCACTGTGAAATTCTTGGGGCTTATGTTGGACGATAGGCTGAAGTTTCATGAACATATTAATCAATTGAGTAACAGGTTGGCAGCTGGTTGCTTTGCGATAAGGGTTGTATGTAATGAGCTTAGTACCTCGACTGCTAAAATGGTGTATTTCTCCTTGTTCGAGTCTCATGTACGGTATGGTATTGCTTTTTGGGGATTCACAAACGGGCAGTTGCTGAATTCTATATTCGTTCTGCAAAAAAGGGCAGTGCGGTATTTGTGTAGAGCCAAAAACCGTGCACACTGTCAGCCTTTGTTTAAAAAAGAAAAAATATTAACTGTGCCTTCTTTGTTTATTTTAGAAACTATTTGTCTCATACATAAAAAATATTGTGGTCTAGAACCTGAGGAGGTAAGGTACAATACCAGAACACACACTAATAATAACTTACGTTTACCAATTCCAAAATCTACTCTGACTAAACATTCTATATTCTTTGAAAGCAAAAAAATTTTCAATCACCTCAGTAATGATTTGAAATCAGTATCGGACTATACCCAATTTCGAACGAATGCTAAGAGTATGTTATTGGAGAAAGCATTCTACAGCTTGGAGGAATATTATGGTGATGTTTTATGATTGTTTTGTTTTTTATTTTTTATAGACCTATACACATATTTACAATTTTTTATGTTTTGTGTTTTGATTTGTTTCTTTTATATTATTTCAATTTATTTATTACATTTTAATTAGTCATTCTTTGGCCTTATGTTTATTTTAGGAATTTTAAGATTTTTATGTGATTTTGTGTAATTCGTATAACTATTAATGTAGATTAGTATATAAATTAGTATATTATATTATCCGCTTTGTCAGTAAAGATTTATATTTTTTGGACAATAAAGCATAATGAGTATGAGTATGAGTATGAGTATTCATCCATTTCATCCTCAAGAGCTAAATTTATTCTATATTTCAATTGCTCAAAAATTGACTCAAAACTTGTCTTCTAATATCGATCCTGTAACTTATTTGCCACAGATATTACATGCAGTAAAACTTCAGTTCAGTATGACAAACAAACGGGAAATTATTATAAAGATTTGCAATATGTTTAAAAAACAAAATGCTTCTGGGGTGGATAACATCTCAATCAAAATTATTAAAAAATTGCCAGGAAATGCCTTGGAAGCCCTTGCAGATTCGATGAACAGGTCCCTTACTAAAGGAATTTTCACTAACTGTCTGAAGACTGCAGTAGTCATACCCATCTTTAAAGCAGGAAGCAGTGATAATCCATCAAATTATCGCCCCATTTCTTTACTCAGTACGATATCCAAAGTGATGGAGAAGATCGTTAAGGAACAGCTAATGTACTATCTAAACTGTCACAACATTTTAAATAAAAACCAGTTTGGCTTTCAGAGTTCAAGGAGTACAAATGATGCCATCTTTGCGTTCTTAGAAAAACTTTATCTAAGTCTAAACGATAGAGAGGTCGCTGCGGCAGTGTTCTGTGATTTTTCAAAAGCGTTTGACTGCGTGTATCACGGAATACTGCTGCAGAAACTTCATCATTATGGCATCCAAGGAACTTCGTTAAACTGGTTTAGCTCAATGCTTTCAGAAAGGCAGCAATTTGTGCATGTTAATGGGGATTATTCTGAAAGGGAGAGGATAGTGCAGGGAGTTCCTCAGGGATCCGTCCTAGGACCAGTATTATTCCTAATTTACATCAATGATCTTCTCTCGTTGCCGATTTCAGGAAAGCTGTCAGCTTTTGCTGACGATACTAACGGGCTGTTGACTTCAAAAAATACAATCCAGAGTTTAGTCCAATTTAAATCTACTATGGAAGCTGTTCCATTCCGAGCGCACCCACAAAAACATTTTATCATGGTTCCTGGATTTTTGTAACCATGGATGAGACTTTTTTTTGTTATAATTAATTATGGCGTTTCCAATTGTCATTATTTGTCATTATTATTATTGAACTTTGTCAAATCGTTAACACACGTTCACAGTCCATTTTTATCGAGATCTTTATCAGAATAAAATCGTTTTTTGTCAAACCTAGTTGTTTGACTGGTCCTTCGAAAATCGAAATCATCGAAAACCCCAACAGAAGCTGATCTACTGGAAATAAAGAAATGGTGCGATTCAAATAAACTGTGCTTCAACAGTCAAAAAACCAATATTCTAACATTCAAGTGCAGTGTAACAGAAATTAAGCTGCAGGATGAAACTGTAGAGAATAAGCCAACTGTCAAATACTTAGGACTCCATATTGATGAACATCTTAAATTTGAAAATCATATTGACTGCCTAAATCGCAAACTGGCTAGTGTATGCTACATTATCCGAACTGTGGTACATGAACTTGGCAAACCAAATGCCAAAATAGCATACTTTTCTTTTTTGGAGTCACATATAAGATATGGCATAGCTTTCTGGGGTTACTCAACCCAAAAGTCACTTCAAGCAGTGTTCGTTCTGCAAAAAAGAGCGATTCGTTACCTTTGTAAAAAAAGCTGTAGAGAATCATGCAGACCATTGTCTGTGCCGTCTCTTTTTATTTTAGAATCTGAGGCTCATTTTTAAAAAATTCTCTGGTTTCGTTCAAACTACTAACTATAACCTGCGTCAGGATAATTTGCCTTTGCCATTACCTAGATTTACTCTTACAAAAAAATCAGTTATATACGAAAGTATAAAAATGTTTAATCATCTACCTCGACAAATAAAGAACTGTAACAGATACAATATATTTCGCTCATTAGTCAGGTAACATCTAGTCACTAAAGCTTTTTATAGTCTTAAGGAATTTTATGATCATGTGTGTTAGGTAGAGGATCGAATTGGAAAATAGGGTATAATTTTTATAGGTTGTGGTATGTGTTGAGGTATAGAATACAATGCGCTGAGTGCGTCTTGGCCTTCCCTTCACAAAACAGTCACAAAAATTTTTGAATTTTTAAAAAGTTTTTGGAATCATAATGTGTTTTTTACTTTTATCACATAGATGTTTTTCTCTTTGTTGTTTGTTTTTTATATCGTTTGTTTTTTATTTTATTTTTATACTGACGACCAAAAAGTTAAATTTTATTTATTTATTTATATTTATTCTGTTTTTTTTTTTATTAAAGTTTTTATTTTTGTTTATTAACCTAATTTGCGCCATAAGTTTATAAGTTTGAACTAGGATTTGATTTGTGATTTTTGTGTCTTTTTTAAGGTTCATATTTGTGGTAAAATTTTGACTTAATTTACTTAGAATTAATTAGTAATAAGAATTTTGCTTTGTCTATGAAAAGCAATGATTTCAATGATATAAAGTTCGATAGGTTTATCTCTAACAGTTTTCGAGAAAAACATTATTGCGGTTTTTGTCATAAGAAGCAATGTGTAAGGAAAGGACTTTGTATCTGTAAGGAAACTGAAAAAGGTCTCTTTCCAACATATTGTTTCTTATGACAAAAACCGAATTAATTTTTTTTTCTCAAAAACTGTTACAGATAAACTTATGGAACTTTATATCACTGAAATCAGAAAAGGCAGAGCTTTTTAATGAGCTATTAATATATGGGGTGTCCTATTGAAAAAAAAAAACAGACTGGTCAATATCTTGAAGTTGGTACCAACCAGAAAAAAACTGAGAACGTCACTGAATTCTGCTTGGAAAAGTGTTTCCAGAAAGTTTTTACTGAAATCAATTTTTTCCATAAACAAAAAAGTTATGAAGGTTTCAAATTATTGCTCAAATTCGAGAAGCGCCCCCTAGCGGCTAAACGGTTGAAGATATCAAAATACGGTTTGCATCAATCAAAATTTCATGAAATTTGAGCCTCAGAGTGGGGGGTTCATTTTTTTGTATCTCGATCAGAAATTGATGTTTCCTATTAAAAGTGTCCAAATTGGCCCACCCTGTACAGTGCAGAAGAAACCGTTTGACTTGAAAACCCTGACAGGTCCATTACCTACAATTCATAAACTTCAATTATTTTCTCTTTTTCAGGAAGAATGTGATATCCCGCAATTCGCCTCAGCAGGCTTACCAGTACTCTCTCACATAATGATAGGTTTAGAAGGATGTTCGCATCAAGACAGTGATTTTATAGCAATGTGTGTTCTTAACATGATGATGGGTGGTGGAGGCTCTTTTTCAGCAGGAGGTCCTGGTAAAGGCATGTATACAAGACTTTATACTAATGTCCTAAATAGGTAACTATATTTATTTATGATGATATGTCAAGTACATAATGCAGTTTTGTTTAAAGGTATCATTGGATGTACAGCGCAACAGCATACAATCATGCCTACAATGACACCGGGCTGTTTTGTATACACGCCAGTGCCCCACCAAATTACGTTAGAGACATGGTGGAGGTTATAGTTAAAGAAATGGTTAATATGGCTAAACATGTGGGCGAGGAAGAATTAAGGGTAAGTACATACATATACAAGGACAATTATTTTGAATTACATGAGATTCTTGATGAGATCTGTATGATAAAAAAACATTGATAAACATATTTGGGCCCTGCAATTTCCCAAAATTTCACCGGTTTTGGAAGAATCATGTCAAAATGTTGGATTTTCTTCTAGCGCAATCAACCTTGCAGTTGATATAAATAACAGTAGGTTAATGTCCGTAACTTTTTCCAGAGCAACTAAAATCGTTCCAAATTCATGAAACGGTTATACATATAAAACTTTAACTTCCATATGACATAGAAGAACATTCTTGAAATTTACTGAAATTTGATTTAAAAACTATTCTACATCACTGTACAACATCTCATCAATAAGGGTCATATTTCACATTAGCTTGCATAGATAAAAAGATTTATTGAAGGGCCAAAGATGAAATTAATAAAAACAATTCCAGAGGGCAAAAACTCAACTACAATCCATGCTCCTGATGAACCTGGAAAGTAGACCAGTAATGTTTGAAGATATTGGCAGGCAGGTTTTAGCCACAGGTCACAGAAAGAGACCCGATTATTTTATCAGCGAAATTGGTAAATAAACCTCATTTAGTAATACACAAATATTAATTCTAATTTTTTATAGAAAAAATCACCAAAAATGATATAATCCAAGTAGCTAGAAGACTTTTAATGTCACAACCGAGTGTGGCAGCCAGAGGAGACTTGAGAAAAATGCCTTCATTAGAGTATATCCAGGCAGGATTGATAGACAGTGAAGGAAAAATGCCTAGCGGGAGAAAATTGTCACTTTGGAGATAAGCTACTGTGGTCCTACGTAATAAGTAAAATAATAAACCATTATCATTTTGTTTAAAATTTTTATTTAATAATCTTGACAGTATTTTTGGTTGTTACTTTTTTATATAAAATACTGCCAGTCGAGACCCTTGTTTTTATTTTTAGGCGTGTAGACTGATGATTGTGTTTTTTATTATTGTTTGAGCAGGCTATTCTACCTTGGAGGTTGAATGGGCTATATTATAAAGACCGAATTATTTATGAATAAAAAAGCTTATCAGCTGACTCTGTTCAGAGATTTTTCTATCATTGCATATTTGTATTTTTGCCAACAGTTGCAAACTGTCTGAACATTTACAAATATATTGTCACGGATTCTGGGTCCACTACAACTTACGTCACAAGTTTCGTTGAACAAATTGACTGTATAAGAATTCCCTTTTATAAAACCATTCAAAATTACTTGAAATCTGGCCGGAAATTTTGTGACAATTTATTTGAGAAAACAAGACCTGGCAAAAACTGCAATAGTTGACAATGTTGGCATTTAAAGAAAAATATGTGGCTCCCTTTATAAACCCCAAAAAAAAAAATGGATTTTAAGTTAATACATTTTTGTTAAATCTCTTTGTTATTCTGGGAAGACATAGAGATAGTAATTTTATGTTGATTTTCCTTTGCCTCAATACAAATTACAATTTTCTCTAGTGAGAGTTTTTGTTAGAGTTATTGCAAGAGTTGAACTGTCTAAAAGAAAAACAGCAGGCTGTTTATTTCATACCGCTGCAATTTTTGCATTAATTCCAAACAAAATCTTGTCTTTGACGCCATATTTTCTGCAATAGTAGATACATATAAACTTTGCAATACAGAAATTATTGTTACAAAATTACTTTTGGAATGTTAAATAATAATTGTACATAAATTTTACGTTTTTTTTTCTAAATAAAATGTTTAATTAAATTATTTATTTGTTCAATTTATTTTCAATTCACAGCTGCAAATGATGGTGAAGTAATTTTATTCAATAATTCATTTAATAATAATTATTCAATTTGAATTAAAGTTTCCAGGAGGTCACTAGGTGCACAGGTAAATGGCAGCAAAGTGGCAGGAAGTTTACACTTTGCTTTAAATAAATAAAACATTTTGACCAATAGCCAAGATGAGAAAATTGACCCTCATTTAGTTTTATTGATATTGAAAAGTGAATCACGGTAATTTTGTGGGGAGTAAAGATTTGTTTTGGCTTTCGGATGTTGGTTGGTTAAGAGGGAACCAATTTGGGTTTTATTAAAATTTAAGTAATTCTTGAAATTATTAAGGGAATAGAGGAGATAAAAAATAATTTATCCTTGATGTGGCAACAACAGCATTATTGTCAACTCTGTGTAAGATTTATAAGGAAAAATATCTGCTTACTACGTGATAGCTACACTTGAGGCTTTCTAAATAGTTTTTCTTATATTGTATTTCTTTAAGATAAAAAGTAATGAATCATCCTCAAGTGACAGTTCCAGTTCTGTACGCTAAATATTGTCTTACATTGTTTGTTGGACATAACATTTATACTAAATGTTTATTAATGATGTAGTGGTACAAATAAAATAGAATGCTGACAGAGTTTTACTTTGCTGATTATTTTCTGGGCTTTTAATATTACATTCTGTACTTTTTTCTTTGCTTCTTCTTTTTCTTCTCATCAGAGTTTTCAAAGGTCCTGTTAGGAATTAAGAATAGCTTTGTCATTAATCATTAATGCATCTTTTTGTGGTAATGGCAGGAAGAAATTTTGAAAGTTATATGTCCGCGAAACACTTGCGCTAAAGAAGTTAATTGTTTATTGTAAAAAACAAAAATGAGCTCTGGAATGATAGTATTACGTATGCCGAGCAAACCAAACGATATTTATGAATAAAAATCCATCGGAAAACGATCGGCATACGGTGTACGTGAGATGTAAGAGGTCATTGGATGTAAGGGTCTACGTACCGCCTTAAAATTTCCCATTTTTGAATGATAGGGCCGATCCTTAGATCCCACGATACGGTATGCCGATCGTTTTCCGACGAGTTTCTATTTATAAATATCGATTGGTATGTTCGGCATCAAATATCATTCCTGCGGTCACCCGCTAATATTTTGCTTGCACGTGTTGACGAGCATATGCATAATTATTACCAAAACCTCCTTTTTTTTTGGGTCGCCTATCATTTTGCCTATTTGTTCGGCGATCTTCACCTTCACCTTGTTCACGGCATCATGTCCCACGGTTTTTTTCCAAAGAATTATGCCTCTCCATCCGTAATTTTTCCGTTGTAGCTGCTATATCATCTGCAATAGTTCATATCAATAAGAGAGAACCCAACGACGCACACTATTCTAGGAGGAGACTTTAATGCAATAATAGGCAGAGGAGCAGAACCAACGGAAACACACATAGGACAGTTCGGATTCGGCACCAGAAATGAAAGGGGAAGACTGTTAGCAAACTTCCTAGAAAGAGAAATACTCTATCTGATAAACACTTTCTTCCAAAAGAAAAAGAAACGTAAATGGACATAGAATAGCCCAGATGGACAAACCATAAATGAGACCCCCCAACCCCCAGAGCCACCCCCTAGAAAATTTCAAATGTCAAGTAATACATCATTTTGCAGGGTTTTCAACTGTTTTGGAAATATTGACAGTTGAAAATTGACTTTTTTGCGCTACTTTGACAGGCTGTAAAACCTAAACGGTTAATTTTAGCGGAAAACCGATCTTACCATTTTTGACACCATTTTTGAATTTAACCGGAGATTAAATTTTTAACCGAAAATTTTTGATCATGGATTAAATTAAAAGTTGCTATAAAATGATAGTTTATAAAAATCTAAGACATGAATGTGAGATCGGGTTTCCTCTAAAATTAACCGTTTAGGTTTTACAGCCTGTCAAAGTTGCAAAAAAGTCAATTTTCAACTATCAATATTTCAAAAACAAAAACTTAGGGGTTAAAATTTTATAACAAAATGTATGGAATTAAAAACCCTCCAAAATGATGTATCACTCGACCCCCCTTCCCATTTAAAGTCTTCTAAGGGGTGGCTCTGGGGGCTGGGGGGTTGAAAGAGGGAAGGTAAATTTTACATAGAAACTCATCCCCCTTCTAATTATAGTTGACGTGTTTCAGGGATTTTTTCGAAAATTTTTTTACTCCAAGATAATAGGGGTGGGAGGTTTTCAAATTGACACCCTGTACAAATAAAGGCAGAAAGAAAACTTTTCCAACAATCCAGGAAAAACAGAAGAGTCATTAGATGATAGCAATAGGAGAACAACAAAAATTATAAAAGAAACAGCAGAACAGATAATAGACCCCCTAGAGAAAACGCCGGACTAACTGTCGATAGAAGCGAAACAACTACTAGAGAAAAGGAGAAAACTGATAACCGAGGGTAAAAGAGATACTATTGAACACACAGAAACTAACAAAACAGCAAGAAAGATGGCGAAACAGGATATACTAAAACATCAAACGAAACAAAGGTAATCCCTATCAGAACAGAACACAGAACTAAATATATTTAAAAGACATAAAACACCTAAGAAAGAGATAACAAAAATAAAAAATGCGAAAAACAACATAGTAGAAGACAGACAACAGATATTAAAAGTTGCGGACTCTTTCTATAGAGATCTGTACGAATCTAAAATAGCACACACAAGGACAAGAGAAGACAAAATACGAATAGAATAGTAAATGCAAACTCACAAGAAATGCCCGACATGAATTTGGAAGAACTGGAGAGAGGCTTATCCCAGATGAAAAATGGTAAAGCGGCAGGAGAAGACAACATTCTGCCTGAAATGCTCAAGGAAAGCGATACTAAGACGAGACAAGAACTAGTGAAACTATTCAATAAGTGCCTAACAAAAGAACATATACCTACCCAAAGATTGGGAGAATGCTGTAGTTGTTCTGATCTACAAGAAAGGTGACCCCACTGATCTCGAAAACTACCGGCCGATAAGCTTACTATCACAGATATACAAATAAATTATTCACCAGAATAATCACCAACAGATTAGAACGAAAATTCGAAGTTTACCAACCAAAGGAACAGGCTGGGTTCGGAAGCCATTATAGCACGACAGAACATCTACACACAATAAGGCACATGATCGAGAAAGCTACAGAATGTATAATATAAACCTATGGATGGCTTTTGTCGATTTCCGAAAAGCCTTCGACACAGTAGAAATCTGGGCAATTGGGATTACAAGTTAAGATCGTAGAGCCGCCGCGGTGTCGAATAGCTCAACTAGTTTCTAGTACATTGATTTATAACCTCACTTTTGTTTTGAACCTAATTTACATATGATTTACATTAGCTTGAATGTTTGTCTTATGTTTACGGCTCTTAATGCAGGCCAAAATTCAATATAATCTATTTCGTTTACCTGATCCGAAATGGTCATATCCATACAACAGCCTAAACGGATCTTTTTCTTATATTTTTTAAAAACTTTCCACAATAGGACATTGCCAAAAGGGTCATGTCAGGTATGTCCCTTATAATGTCTGTATCTGAATAACTTGTATGTGCAATAAATAAATAAATATTTCATAAATAACTCTTTATTTTTATTTATAAATAGGTAAAAATTGAACTTGACCACAAACCTGCCTATAATACTGGTAATTATAATTTAATAAAAACTTGACACTTTCTGCTGTTTGCTCATCCATTTGTATGTCTGTCTCAGAAGAGTTTAATAATTGATTACAAGTATCACTACATTCATTACTTGTATCGCTCTCACTAGAATCTTGATTTCTTTTTCTTTTGGCAAGTCTTTCAGCACACATGGAATCATGGAATCTGTTTTTTGACTGGGTTGATGGATCACTGTAGAAGAGGGCAAATTCTGGGATGGTACAGCTGTTTTTTTTTCAATATCCAACCTCTACCAGTGGCGTAACTACAGGGGAGCCTGGGGGGGCCGGGCTCCCCCCAGACGTCGCTAGGCCCCCCCCAGAAAAAACTTTAATAATTTGGTATTTTATGAAAGCTACGTTACCTATTATAATTTTATGTTATTACCTACTAAATTTGAACAGTAATGCGCGGTGATCCCGAGCGACCCTATCCGATCCTCCGATCCCCCAACGGGGCTGTGTGCCATTGTGTCACCCAAAGGTCAATGCAAATTGCAATGTGCAGAAGTGATACAGTACCGAGGGGCTTTTCACCTACCAAAATTTGTACACCGATTTCCATTTTTCTTAACATTTCACAATATTTCCATATATTTTCGAGTATTTCTAAGTAGTATTTCCAAATATTCCCTAGTATTTCCAAGTATTTCTGAGTACATATTTCTTTGAAGTTTTACCTACCTACTAACTAATTTAATTTTAAAAATAGGCTAAATGTCACTTTGTCACCACTGCATTGATTTGACAAGGTATACTGAAAGTAGAGGAAACACTAAATACCTCTAGGTAGGTACCAACAAAACTTGGAATGGGCTGATAGGGCCAAAAAAAAACTTATTCTCAATCGCTCTACTATCTTCTTTCAAAGGCCATTCAAAATTCCATTGATTCCGGGCTTAAGCATTTCTTTTTAAAAATTTCATGTTACAGGATTTTTTAGTCATTCTCAAAAGTCTGCTTACATACCAATCTTCATCAAAATAGACAGCATAGTATTTTTCTTTATCCAGCAAGATCTTATCCGTGATCTTATCAATATTATTCTCACTTTTTTCTTCTAAAAATTCTTCACTGGAGGCGTCAGTATTTAAAGAAAAGTTCTGAGAATCAAAACAGAACACGATGATGAAGTAGAGGAGCTATAACTTTTCAATGTGAGTAATTCTTTTGCGAGGAATTTTAATTTTTTTGCTCTTACAAGATTTAATTAAAGATCCGCTAGAAACTCTAGAGAAAACTCTTTTTCTGGATTTTGACTTTTTG